AAATAAAGAAACAGAAATAATTTATTATTCTGAAAGTCAGAGGTTACTTTTGGAGGGAAAAAGAGGGTTGTGACTGGCACAGAACACATTGAAGAGCTTCTGCAGTGGCTGGTAAAGTTCTATTTCTTGACTTAAGTAATAATTACAAGCATGTTTACCTTAAAATAATTCACCAAGACATGTATTTGTTTTGAATGGTTTTCTGTATCTGTGATCTATGTTATGATGAAAAGGTTGAAAGCTAATTAAAGCAAATTAATTTCATACACATATCATACAAATGATACACACACTTTTTTACATATACATGTAAAAACTTAGAGGGTTCAATCAAAGCTCTAGTAAGAGCAAAAAAATCGTAAATTAGCACTCTGTTAAATGTAAAACAAAAGAAAATATAACAAATAAATGAGCCAGCACTTATCTTAAGAAGATTATAAAAACAAAATAAACCAAATAAAATAGCAGACAGAGAAGCAAACAAGCTAGTTCTTTCCTTCTTTGCAAGCTCATTAAAATAGACTAAATTTTGATAAGCTGACCAAGTGGAAGGGGAAAAAACAAAGTATTGTTAGTAACAGTAAGAAAGATAATATAATACCAGCCCTCAATAAGATTATTTAAACACTGGAGCGGGAGGGTGAAGAGTATTATGTACAGCTTTAGGCCAACAAATTTGAAGATCTAAATGAAATAAAAAATAAGAAAGGACAAATCTGTTCTAAGAAAGGACAAATTTCCAAAAAGAAAGAAACTGTCCCAGTTCATTTTATGTTGGCATGATCCTAACCCCAAAACATGACAAAGAGAGCACAAGAGGAACGATCTCACAATACATCATGAACAAGAAGTAATCTTTTCACAAATGCAAGGGCAAAGATTAGAAACTCTATTAACTGATTACGTAAGTCAACTAAAGGAAAAAAGACGTAACAATGTGTCACTCAATGTGGCAAACCTTTGATTAAAAAAAAACTTTGTTTCAATTAGCAGAGTATGATGGCACATACCTGTAATCCCAGCTACTTGGGAGGCCTCTGAGGGAAGATCTCTTGAGTCCTTGAGATGGAGGCTACAATGGGCTATGACTGCACCACTATATTCCAGACTGGATGGCAGAGTGAGACCCCATCTCTAAAAAAAATTTAATTAACTAAATTAAAATAAAAATAAACTAAGCAAACAAAATATAAAACTTCCATGCATCAATACAGCATTAGGGTGAAAAAAAACTCATAAATAGCATTTATAATGCAAAACATAAATGGATTTTGCCATTTAAACACAGACACCTAAAGATACTAGCTATTAATGCCAATCCTATTAATTCAACATTGTTAGAGAGATTTTACCCAACCCAGTAGGTCAAGTAAAAGAAATCAGAAGTATAAATTTTAAAAGGAAGACAAAATTATAATTTGCACCTAATAGTGTCTACAAAAACTGAAGATAATCAAATTTAAAAAATTTTAAATCATAAAATAAGACTGTATGACATACAAAAAAAAAAGAAGAAGAAAAAGAAAGATTCCCTATACACTAAACACTGCTCAAAACTTAATATTTACTGTGAGTGATATGCCAGAGACTGTGCTAAACACCAAACAAACCAATACCAACCATAACTAAAATAACCCAGCACAAGGGCAACAACAGTCTTGGTGCATTGTGAAAACCTAGATATAAAAAAAAAGTGTGACTTGTTTGAAGGACCCAAATGGCAAATCAAGATGCACAACATACTCCTGGATGCGAATGCTTATTATTGGCATATATAAATTTTCTATAAAGTAATTGATACATCTAATGCAAATCTAATAAAAATTCCAAAGGGACTGTGAGACAGAAGACGGCAGGAAGATTCTGAAGTCCATGTAAATTGTCTGAGAATACCTACAATTTTTAAAAGAATAATGATATAAAGGGAATAGCCCTATAATGTAGAAAAACAATAAATCCTGTTACTTAAAGGTGTAAGGTTTGTGTAAAGAGAGACATACAGATCAACAGATTAAAACGAAGTCCCAAACAAATCCGTAAATATATCAGTTACGTACATGATAAAGGGATATTTGTTGATGGATTAGTTATGGTAAGAGAGTTTTCTGGTTGCACAACTGGATAGAAAGATATTCTTGACTAAAATTGGGAAAACTAAACAGAGAAGGACTGAACAAAGGAAGAATATAATAAACTTAAATTTAGACTCGTCAAATTTGAGGAACCATCATGAAATCCAAGAAAAGTGACATCAAATAGATAGATAGATATGCAGGCCTGGAGGTCATAACAATAGCCTAGGCTGGATCTGTTAACTTGGGAGTCCTGCATACAAAGTGGTTAACTGAAGTCATAGACACAGACTAGATTGCCAAGAGAAGGGTATAGTGAGAAGAGAAAAGCACTGGATCTTGAGGAATACAACACAATGAATCAGGAAAATCAGGAAGGCATAATATCATAGAAGCAAAGGCAAAAATATATTTCAAAATGAAGTACACTTAAGGTCTGAAAATGTCACCTGGAATTCTCAAAGTACATTCTGTATAATATAAGGTTATAGACTCACAGTGTGAAGAGTAAAGAATTAAGATTTCAAAACAGTATCTTTAGAAAGGGCTTATAAAATTTTAAAAGGAAATGAGAGAAGACAAAGATATTTTTAAAAAGCAGTCTGGAAGGACATATTCAAGTAAGAAACAATGGTCATCACTGGGGAAAGAATTACAAGTGGTTTTTAACTTCATACATTTCGGTACTGTTTGACTATTTTAGCAAACACATGAAGTACTTATACATTAGCAAAAAATAAAGATAGTTGAACCTGGAAAAGCAAATTGGAGAAAAAAACCACCCAGACATTGCCTTATAAAAATATTTTTATCATTACTTAAAAGCTGAAAAACTTTACAGAGCTCCTCACAGATCTACTGCATTCTCTTTCATGATAGCCATACCCTATAAAATGAAATACTTTTATTCATCTTTTAACAAGCATTTATTATACATCTATTATGAATCAAATCATTGTGCTGAAAACATTGGACGCAAAAATATAAATAAATTACTACCCCCCCTTAAGCTTCATGGGCCTACAGTTTAATGGAAAACAGACATGTAAACAATCATAATTCAATATGATCAGTGTACACACAAAGTGACAATGAATGTACAAGCTAAGATATTTTACGAGAGAAATAAATTTGAACTGATTCTTAAAGAAAGAAGGAGGTAGGAGTTCCAGGCAAGGAACTTCTAATATATTTAGAATCTGCATTCACCCATCCTACCCACCATGCTAGTCGATGCCCTATGTATGTCCTACCACTACCACTGAGGATCTCATCAAATCCTCACCTCTCTCTTAAGTAGTCAGCATAGACAAATGGCTATCATTTTTCTTATATGTTAAAAACAAATCAGCATCCAGACATCAAATCATGATGATTTCAACATCCCGCTTACAGATTATTTTTAATTTTGAACCTGTCACAATGCATAGTAGTACCATGAGTGGGAAAAAAAGAAGAAAAAAATAAAATGAGCCCCAAAATCAAATATAACATATATTTACTTTTGTTGTGCTTTTGCTCAATTATATAAGAAAAAAATGAAAGTTGAGAACTCTAAAGTTAGGTTTTTCTACTAGGAAGGAAAAAAAAAAAAAAAAACCCTCTGTTCTTTAATGTTTAGAATAATTAGTATTTAGTTGTTATTGTCCCAGTACTTATTACTCCTAAAACCTGTTCTGGGGAAACTTGTGTGCCTAAGGAACTGGATTTAATGGAACCTATTAACTTTTTTAAGACACTGTCTAAAAACACTGATTGCATATCACTAGGAGGTCAATCCTACAATCATCTTTTCCCAAATGGTCACTACTCCAAAGCACATTAGCTGTTCATTCAGTAACAGTTTTGGTGTACTATGTTTAAAGTCGTTAAGGAGTATCAGTTAACTGATTATGTTGCTTGAAAGCAGTATTAAGTGGTAAAACTAATTCATCAATCATCACATTTTCCTAAATATTTTTCATATATTGCTATTTTAAGAAAAGAAAGACCATAATAATTACAGAAAAAGTAATCAGTACTACAATTTTCTTTGGAAAAGGTAAATATATGCATGGCTGGCTGTTGAAGTAAAAGTCTTTCCAAGAAGCAAAGTGATAGGCCAGGAGTTGAAAAGAATCAACTGCAAAGAAAACCTCATTTCTATTTTCAATTGCTATTTCTGTTGACAACAACAAATAGTCGTTTATTTATACATCTATTGCCTCAGATAAAACAACACAACCAATGTATATGATATTTCGCATGCTTTAACAAAAAGAAATAATCTCATTCCTTTATAAAGGATAACTTTTCAAATTAGAGTAATTTACATGCTTTTAGTGTTTTTCTGTTTTTGAAAATTAGTAGGTTACATTTGAAAAACTTTGCCAAAGGAAATATAGTCCCACATTTTCACAAAGGGAAGAAATGTTAAAAATTCAAACTTTCAAGCTAAGGTTACAGGTATTCTAAATGAAAAATAATTTTTTCCTCCAATAGTCTCTTTAATTACTATAACTATACTGCAGTATCCTTCCTATATTATAACATTATAGCACAATATTTGAGATTGCTTTTTAAGCACTCAGTATTCTACGGAGGAAAAACATGAAACTAAAGCCACATTAAAATGACAATTTCCTCATTCAGTAGAGAAAAAAAATCACTTAGTTCTTTCCTGAATAAATCAGTTTTAAAGACACTGTAATATATAGTGATAAAGATCTCAATTCCGTAACACAGATAAGCTTAAGTGCTTAATATATTCAGTTATGTGAGCATTCTGTACACACTAGGAGTTCATGGATTACACATCTTACAGTCTGCTGTGAACATGTGGAATTAGGCACTTACCTTAAAATACCACCCCACCACAAAGAATTATTATTAATAGTTTTGACACCAAGAGCAAATTTTATTTCTAAAAACTGATAAGTAGGGACAAACTAAAATACAAAAACAACACAAGACAAAACACAACTAACAAAAACAAAGCTGCTTACTGAAGGTAAAAGGTAACAGAAGGCCACAGTTTTGAAGATCTGATACACAGGAATCAGGGATCCCCTTCTGGAGCAAATCTTTAAATTAATAAAAGTAGGGCCTTCTGTTTACTTTTTGCTATAAAACACTCATCATCAATTTCAAAATAAGAACCTTAAGAGTTAATAAATAGTAACACAAACCAAAGCTAATGATATTAAGGATTCCAATAAATTTTAAATAAACTACCTAAGACTAAAAGCTGAAAATTTTAAGCCCTCCTTCCTTTTCTCCCTTTCCCTCTCCTCTCTCTGTTTTACTGTCTGTATCCCTTCACATATATATGCATATACACATAAATAAAATTTATTCCTTTTAGAAGACTGAGTAGTTAACCAGAAAAATTAATAAAATCTTGAATAAACAAACTTAGAAGGTCTATTTAGTTGACATTTACTTTTTGAATATGGAAATTCTGTTGTTCGACTTCACTAGACACTAGAACTCCTCTTAGAATATTTTGATAAACAAAGAACCTAGTGTTTTTGTTAAATTCAAACGGCAGGAAAGGAATGTCTTTGATATACATAACTAAATCATCATCTTATTATTCTCCTATCCTAAATCATAATTTTGTATACATATATAAAACATTTCCTATGCCTACATTTTTACCAACACATGAAATTTTGCTTCCCTAACACTGTCCTAGCAAAATACATTAAACTTCATACCAATTATACGATTTGGTAATATATATTCCTTAAATATAAAGATGCCTCCAGTAATTCATTTTGTTTCTAAATAGACATCTCTCATCTCAGACTTTTTATACTCAATATTTCTTAAGAGTCCACAAAAGAATAATTACCAAAATTAGTGAAATGTTTCACAGTCCTTATTTGGGAGAATAACCTGACTAAAGCAGACCACTCACTAATAAAGTGCAACTTAATAAATCATGTGGAATCTTATTTTGTTCAAACCCTTACTAACTCCTAGCACCATCTGTTACCATCAAAACTATATGACAAGATATGATATATAATTAATAGGTAAACAACAATCTAATTAAAATGGACAAATACTCCATGTTCC